TGCCGCGGATCAAGGACCCCGAAGGACCCTGTTGCATCCACTCACAATGCAGAAAGAGGCACACACAGCACTGTTGACTGTTGCGTCAAGTGTAAACCTCGCGGTGATCCGAGTCACCGCCAGTCGCCGAATCGGAGGGTCGCTCTCTTTGGCTTTGTGTAGTGTCGGGCCCGGTCGGTCCTGAGGTGTTTTTCTTGCGATGTAGGGTCAGAGGGGAATGCGGCCGCAGGGAACCACAGAGGGCGAAACAGAAGAAAACTGGACACAATGAACACAACAGTATAATCCACTCTGCTTCTCCATAATAATTTTCGAATACTTTTCTTTGTTGCGAGATCGCTTTTATGACGCGGACCCGGTTTGCCCTCTCTGTCTCGCCCCCTTTCGCGCACTGGCCTTTGTGTAGTGCCGGACCGGAGAGAGAGAGCGAGTGAGAGAGAGACAGAGAGAGACAGAGAGGAGGACAGGAAGGCAAAGAAAGCCAAAGCTGAGCACTGGCAGGCGAAGTGCAACAAAAGTTGAGCCAGTGGGGCCGAGAGGGACCAAGAGGGGCCCTGCGGAGCCCCAGGGGGCGCAGCGGGGCAAGGGCGACAAGGATATCCTCTCCGACGCACTGGGGCGGGGCGGCCGGGCCCGGCGTAACCCGTACCGATCGGGCTAAAAGGGCGAGTGTACAAAGCGACGGCCTTGTCGGCGTGCTCGGCGCCCCGTGTCCACCGAGGGGGCCTCCATGGCGGCCTCCAGGGCCACGACGAGTGATTCGCTAGTGACTTATGCCCCAGGGTCTTCTTTGAGGCGGCTGGCGGCGTGTCGGTGCAGATGGCGCGGCTTGCGATAGCTCCCCCTCCTCCCCGACGGGGTCCTCGGCCACCCTCGGCCCGTCCTCGTGCTGCTCCAGGACATCCAGGACGCGGCGCCGTGGCGCCGATAGCGGCGATAGGTGGCGCAGGCGGCGGTCGCGATGGCGCGATCAAGACCTAGATCGTCTTCCCCTCGGACAGAGCGAGGCGACCGCCCCATGGTAATTCAATTCCCAACTTCGGCCGCCGGAGCCCCGCGAGAGATTTATCTTGTTTGCGGCTGCACTGGGGCGGATTTTAAGGTTTGACTTTGCCGCTGCAGTTGGTTTTGGTTTTGGCGGTGGTGGTGGCGGTGATGGTGGTTGTGATGGACGGTCGGCGGTCACTCTATTAGCGTTCGCCTTGCAAAACTACACAAAAGACAACGATGATGAATCGCTCCGCCGGTGTTTTCGGTATCTTTTGTTGGGGCGGACAAGGAAAACGAAAACGAAAACAAAAACAGGCCGCGGCGGGTAGCAAACAAACAGACGTGCGGTGTCATCCGTCTTGCGGCGATTCAAATGGACGACGCCATCGCCGCTCGCTTCCTCTGCCTGCCTGCTCGGGCTGCCCGCCTGGCTGCCTGCCTGGCTGCCTGCCGGGCTGCCTGCCGGGCTGCCTGCCGGGCTGGCCGACCGTGACACGATGAGGGAGGAAAAGCCCCGGCCTGATTGAGAAACGTAAAAGGAGGAGGGGTGGGGAAGCCGGCACTTGGGTGCGGTCGCGAGTTCCCCGATCAGGCTAAAGGCATACACATAAATTGGCCCGGACTCCTCTTGGTATCGAGCGGGCCGAGACGCGCGTAATGTCGGTTTGTTTTTCTGCTTCCTCGTCCCCGCAAGGAGGGAGGAGGGCCAGGCTGAGGCCAGGCGGAGGCCGGGGAAGGGGGAAGGGGGGCAGAAGGGCTCCGGACGGGTTAACTTGAAAGAGCGTCCTCTCGCGAGAGTACCCCACCCGGTTTGCATGCCATCAGATCGGGCCGATGGGGCCGCCTGGATGTATTCGGCACACGGAAGGGGCACCGACACACGCACGGAGTACGGCGTTCACTCATTTGCATGCCAACTTAAACTTTTTTCGGTCTTTCTGACGGTGCGCCACGATTATTACATTTTTAGATTCCCGAACGATGTCATTCTATTCAGCAAATAAAAAAGGTTGTGACGCTCACTGTTCACAAAATTTGTGGACATCCATGGAAAAAATGCGTAAAAAAATCAATAGCAAGATGTTGCAACATTTTGTTTGATGATTGTTGTTGTCTCCGGCGTGCTGCACAACTAGGTTACCTCTCGGCGTGTCCATGTCCAGTCCGCCCGCCAAGCCGCCACGCTGCGCGTCCTCCCCGTGACAAATGGACGGGGCGGTCCAGTGCGCCGCGCGTCTTCCTCCCGACCCTTCGACGGCGCGATGACCCCCCCCCCCTCTCCCCCTCCCCCAGGAGGCAATACACCCATCAATCCAGGCGGTCCGCCGTCCGGAACGAAAGTCAAAATCACTCGCCGTCCATCATGCCGATTAATTGCGGAACGGCTAAACGTCTAAACGGCGCCCTAATACCTCATCCCCCTCGCACTCGCGGCCCGGGCCGCGTGGGTGCGACAGAGACGGCGCCGGCCCCGCTGTCCGAGGCCGTCCTCCCCCTCGTGCTGACCGCCGGCCCACCGCCGGCCCGCGGCGAGGCACGTCTGGGCGAACACGCACGCGAAGCGTGTTGGCCGCGAACACGCTCTGGGTCGAGGAGAACAGGAGGACGAACTCGCCCCGAGCCGATAGTGGAACAGTGCAAGGGTACGTATCGCCAGGGTTTCGGTGCCGAGTTTTTACATGGGGTTGGTCTTCCCCCACACCCGAGCCCCGCCAGCCCTGCCGGGGCGTTGGCCCCGCCACACCTTCGCCGCCCCCCCCCTCCACGCCAAGTAGTGCATATTCGCTTTCCCTCTCTCTGGCAGTGCCCTAGCAGTGCCCTGGCAGTGCGACCCCATTTACCCCCATGAACACACTCGGCCTGCCGTCCCGGCGGAGTGTCGGCGCAAGAGATTAGCAGCGTGGCTGCGCGGCGGCGCGGCGGCGGGGCGTCAAGCCGGTAACTAGGGACTAGGGACGGCCAGGATGGAGCCGGCTGGAGCCGGCTGGAGCCGCCGGGCCGGGGCTGGAGGCGACAGGAAATGTATGACTAGGATTCCGAGTCCAAATGGGATAGCGAAGTGGTAGGTTCTCTTACCAGTGCTCTGGGTACAGCAAGTCGCGTCGCCGCCCCCGCCGCCGCCCCCACCCCGTCCGGGGGATGCCATGCAAAACACACAGTGGGGAGCTACGTGCAAATGGTCCTGCCCCCGATGGTGCGCGGCGAGAACGTTTATTTTTTCTCCCTTCTCTCTCTGTCCCTCCCTCTCTCCCTCTGTGTGTGTGTGTGTCCGTTCGTAGCAAACGTCGTTTCTGCCTGACCGAGCTCGTGTCGCCCGGCACGGCCGTGCCGCGGGGTGGGCGTCGCAAGATCGCCGCGTTGACAACCAAAAAGGAGGGACAGGACAAAAGAAAGGACTAATTGGATTGCAATCTTGTATTCTTTCATTACAGTGCAGTAGTGCCGACGCTTCAAGCGGCGTCCCTCCTCCAGCGGATCTGCATTGGCTCTCTTCCGCAGGGCGTCTCTTAAGTCTCTCCAGCGTCTCTCCAGCGTCTCTCCAGCGTCTCTCCAGCGCAGCGCACAGTGTGACTCCTCCTCGCAGACGTCAGTCCCTGGTGCACGCGGCAAAAACCTCATCGGCCTCTTCATTGATGTCTCCTGCAAACACACAGACACACGTAAACTAGCCGCAAGCACTCTGTCTCTCTCTCTCTCTCCGTCGCACACGCACACACACACACGCAGTGGCAGTGTCCACCCCGCCGGCCTTGCTTTTGCGACCCCGCGAGGCGAGACACGGGGAGAGGGAGCGGACGAAGAAGGGGCGGGAAAAAATCTCTTTGGGCTGCGCCGAGACTTACGACGGATCCCTCTCATCTGTAGATAAACATCCGTCTCGTCTCTCTTTTTCTCCCGGAGAAGAAAAGGGCGGGGGAGGGAGGTGACCCCTTATCTGGGCCACTGTATGTGTGATTAATGCCGACCTGTCCCTGCGCAGCACTGCGCAGGCTGTACCAGGGCTGTACTAGCTGTTAGTGTACGTACTGGGGACGGATCGGCTAACTCGGAGTTGGGGTTGCGAGTGTCATTCCAAGACGGCGAGGCCGGGGGAACTGTTCGAATGCCCAAAGTTCATTGTCCTTTTTTTCTTTTTTAAAAAAGTTGTCTTTGGTGGCACTGACTGGCCGCTCCACCTCGTTCGCTCGCAATGAAAACATTTAAAAATAAGGCTGGATTTATCGGTGGGTCGCGTCGGGGGAATGTGGGGGGGGGGGAGGCGTCTCGTCAATACTAGCGCCGTGCTCCACACGCCAAAAGGGGCCGCGAGCCGCTACGAGCCGCGAGGCGCCGACTTTGAAGCTTGCAAACATTTAACGAGAATAAAAGCCTTTTCATACTCTCCATGCAGATTTTATTATTTCCTCTTTGAGGTTGTATTTTATTTCACCGCTTTTTTTTTATTTTCGTGCCGCCTTTTTGGCGGGTAACAGCTTTCACGCGTGGCCGCAAGACAGGTAAGGGTGCCTCTTTTCTGCATCATCCTTTTATGAAATGTTCCGCTTCCTGCCCCGGCACGGCACGGCCTGGCACGGCCCGGCGTAGCCGCCACGCGTACTCCCGCATGAATGGCAGAGCGAAGCGCCGCTGTCGCGCGAAAAATAAGCGGCTCCGTGAAGAATCAAAAGACACACGACAGCACACGTGTCGGGGGAGGGGGGAGGGGAGGGGGAGGGGAGGACTCCACGTGCCTCGCGCGCCGCGCGCGCGCCACTCAAGCGCGTCTCTTCGGGCATCGAAAGGTGCTCGGGGACGAAATGGAGCAGAAACAGAGTCGCCCCTCTCCATATCCTTCCCAAGACACGCGCGCGCACACACACACACACACGCACACACACACACGCACACACACACAGACACTACCTGCACGACCACAGCGCCGGCGTGCCGCGGTGCGCTGTTGCAGGCGTCGCCAGGCGCGTGGCGGCGCGTGGCAGCGGGCGTCCCCCAGGCCCGGGCTGGCGCAAGGGCTGGCGTCCTCCCTGCAGGCCGCCGACGTGGACGGTCAGAGCGTCAGGTCGCGGCCGCCGCCCGCCGCCGGTTGCAGCGCGTCACGTATCGGATGGTGCGGACGCACGACCGGATCTTGTGGATCACCTCCTCCTGCAACACAGTGGAGCGGTAACGGCGGCGGCGTGGATGTCCTGGATGACGGCCTGGATGGCCCCCGCCGTGTTTGTCGACACGGCCTCGGTCACCTCCGCCATGTTTGCCCCCCCTTCCGCGAGTAATTGAAATGAACTCCCCCAGCGGAAATACATGGATTTTTTTTCCCGAAGCGTGCCCTGCTCATTTAATCTTATTTTTACTTTTTTTTTATTTTTACCGGGATGCTGGTATGACTGCCACAAACAATGAGAGATGAGCCTTTGTCCCCGGCGCCCCCTCCCAGCCCCCTGCCCCTCCCCCTTCCCCTAGATTGGGTGATAGCGGGCCCTAGAGTCACAGCTGGTGGCTGAAATTAATTAACATTGGGACCGCGCGGCACAGGCCAGCGGTTTGTCGGCTCTTTTCGCGGGAAAGCCGCCCAGCGCCGCCCACGGACCAGGGTTCAAACGCCACCAGGTCTTTCCCCCTTTTTATTTTAAAATGACTAATATTATATACACGCAGCGTTTAAATAATAAAATTGGACTTTATGTACACGCAGCGTGCACATAACAGAAAAAAAATTATTGACACGCAGGATTTTTCCCCTCAGACGTCCACCGACGGTGGCCATGTGGGACAAAATGTTCCTGCGTGCAAATAATATTTTGGCTTTTATTTAAACGCTGCGTGTCTCCAAGGCACCAAAAAATTATTGGCACGCAGGATTGTAAAAAGTCTTCCGACCGGCGACTGAGTCCGGCATGGCGGCTTGGTGGGTGAGTGGGTCCGTGCTTGCACGGGAATTTTTTGGCCCGGGTTCGAGACTCGCCTTCTTCTCAAAAAATTTCTGCGTGTCAATAATGAAAACCGGCGTTGTTTCAACGCTGCGTGTTTATAATAAATTCACATGTTATTTACACGCAGCGTGTCTGCAATTCCAGTTTTATTATTTACACGCAGGAAAAGTTTTGCTGCGTGCAAATAATATTTTGGCTTTTATTTAAACGCTGCGTGTCTCCAAGACACCAAAAACTTATTGGCACGCAGGATTGTAAAAAGTCTTCCGACCGGCGACTGAGTCCGGCATGGCGGCTTGGTGGATGAGTGGGTCCGTGCTTGTACGGGAATTTTTTGGCCCGGGTTCGAGACTTCGTCTTTTTCTCAAAAAATTTCTGCGTGTAAATAATAAAACTGGGTCTTGCAGACACGCTGCGTGTAAATTACATGTGAATTTATTATAAACACGCAGCGTTGAAACAACACCGGTTTTCATTATTGACACGCAGAAATTTTTTGAGAAAAAGACAAAGTCTCGAACCCGGCCAAAAATTCCCGTACAAGCACGGACCCACTCATCCACCAAGCCGCCATGCCGGACTCAGTCGCCGGTCGGAAGACTTTTTACAATCCTGCGTGCCAATAAGTTTTTGGTGTCTTGGAGACACGCAGCGTTTAAATAAAAGCCAAAATATTATTTGCACGCAGCAAAACTTTTCCTGCGTGTAAATAATAAAACTGGAATTGCAGACACGCTGCGTGTAAATAACATGTGAATTTATTATAAACACGCAGCGTTGAAACAACACCGGTTTTCATTATTGACACGCAGAAATTTTTTGAGAAGAAGGCAAGTCTCGAACCCGGGCCAAAAAATTCCCGTGCAAGCACGGACCCACTCACCCACCAAGCCGCCATGCCGGACTCAGTCGCCGGTCGGAAGACTTTTTACAATCCTGCGTGCCAATAATTTTTTGGTGCCTTGGAGACACGCAGCGTTTAAATAAAAGCCAAAATATTATTTACACGCAGCAAAACTTTTCCTGCGTGTAAATAATAAAACTGGGCCTTGGAGACACGCTGCGTGAAAATAAGATGTATATATATTATATACACGCTGCGTGTATATAAGACCCATTTTTATTATTTAAACGCTGCGTGTCTATAATGACTCCGTTTTAAAATTGTTTTGGTCAGTGCGCGGAGACGTCCTTGCCGCTAATTCCGTCGTTAGTACGCGCAGCAGCATCCGTTCCAGAATGGTCCTCTTCAAGGTGGTCGGGATGCTGGATGAGCACGGCTTCGGAGCACGGCGTCGGAGCACGGCGTCGGAGCGCGGCGTCGGAGCGCGGCGTCGGAGCACGGCGTCAGCCGCACGCAGCGCGCTCCATCGGCAACATCGATCATCGCGCCGAGCCGCCTGTATCGGAAGCCCCCGCGAGCGGCCCCACCATCCCCGCCTGCCCCGCGACGGCCTCCGCCATGTTGCAGTCAATTTTTCGCTCGGAAAGTACCATTCCGCAGCGACAAGCATGGCGGCCTCCGCGGCCTGCTCCGGGTGCCGCTGGCCGCGCGGCGGGGCGGGGCGGGGCGGGGTGCGGCGACGCCGGGGTGTTCCGGGAGCCGTTGATTGATAGACGTTACTCCTTCAAGGCGACGTCGCGGCCGTATCGGCGCCCTGGAACCATGCTGGAACGGATCCAAGCCGGGAATGCACGCGCAGTGCTGCGTCGCGACAACGACGCCCTCTGGGCCGGCAGGGCGGCTGCGGCGGCAACCCCGCAGCCCCGCCCGTCCGTCGCAGCAGCCGTATAAAGGTTGGACGACGTCTGCCCCCGCCACGCCGCCACCAGCATCGGTGGGCTGGGTCGGCGTACCTGGCCCACGGCGCCGCCGGAGACATGTGACAAACTTACAGGTGTCACTTTCCCCTTTCCCCTCCCTACAGCGTGCACACACACATACACACACACAGTCACAATGTCACGCTCCCACGCACACAGACAAGCACGCGCACCAACGCACTCAATATGGCCTTGCCCCCACCCGCGTGACCTTCTCACGGAGAGACAGGCGAACAGAAATAAATTCCTGGCAACTCTGAAGACGCTCCCTAGGGACGTCCCTGGTGACGAAACAAACGCACACACACACACGAGCAGACACGCACCTGCATCAGGTTGAAGCACATGGCGATGAGGGCCATGCCCATCATGAGGTACATGGAGCAGAAGATGAAGGACATCTCGATGCCGTCGCCGTCCGAGTAGACGCTGGAGCCGGGCACGATGTCGCCGAAGCCGATGGTGGACAGCGAGATGAAGCAGAAGTAGGAGCCGTCCAGCGTGTCCCAGTCCTCCCACTTGGAGAAGAGCACGGCGCCGCCGCAGACGTACCTACAGTGCATGCACACGCGTCAGTCGTTGTTCTGGATCCGGAAGGAAAGTCGACGGTACACTGCAGTTCGGCGAATTTATCGACCAGTCACCCAACAGGCGCACGTGGCGGCACGGCGGTGCCGAGGCGGCCGAGGAAGGCGTCTCGAAATTAACTGCCAGTGCACGTCAAGGCCCCCGCCACAAGGCCCCGCCCGCGCCGCGCCGCGCCCGGTGTCTCTGAGGCCCAATCTGATGGGGACGCTTATTTACTGCCGACCGGTCTGCAGTCATCATCCGCGCCATGCTGCCGCCACCGCCGCGCTTCAGTGCCACCTGGCGGAGGCAGTGTACCAGTCCGCGCAGCGAGCCGCGCCAACCGAACAAAGAGCGCGGTGGTGCGGCTCGCTGCAAGGCCATGGCGAGGCCATGGCGAAGCCATCCCCAAACTGTCGCTTCCCGCGTCATCCCGAACAGGAAAAGGGGCGTTGTCACAGCGTTGCATTGTCCGGGGCAATTAGAGAGCCAACGCGCCCCGCCTCGGGACCCCGCCCCGCCCCGCCCCACCCCACCCCGCCTCTGGGTGCGTGCGCGAAGAGTTGCTCAAAGTCGACCCCCATCCCCGGGCCGCGGGCCGCCCCCTCCCCCTCCTGCATTGTCTTACATTAATTATGAAAGCCGCGGCGGTATTCGTAAACGACCTGCTGGTGTCAGCGACGCCGGTTCGACAAGGCTCTGCGTAACGAAGGGCATCATTAGTGACGCCGCGTGTTGCCGAGACCTGAGAGAGTGGGCCAAATATTAAGCGATGGACGCCAAACATTTTTTTTCCCTTCCACTTTTTTTTGTGCCCGCCGAAGACTTACTTTGCAGGCGCTGCACATTTTGTTAGTACTATTATTTTCCTCTTCCGTAACGAGTTTCAGTCCGGCGAGGCGAGGGGGTTAGAGGGTGGGGGTGCCGGCGCGGTGTGGCGTGGCGTGTCTTCGTGGCGCCCTTATCTGCCGGGACTGCCGACGCTTCAGTTCATCGCGACTGCGGCGTAAAAATATAGGCAATCTTTGCGGCTTCTCTCTCTCTCTCCCCCTCCTCCTCGTCCTCCACGGAGGCCCCGGCCGCGCTCAAGCTCTCGTCGAGGAAATCTATTATGTCAGCAAGCCACGCGCCTCGGAGCTCCGCCAGCGAGGCTTGGAGCTTGGAGGGGCGCAGCGAGCAGAGAGCTGCACTCTCCCGCGGCGTGTTCTCCGCCGGCGCCGCGTTCCTCCAGGCAGGCCTGCCTACTTCTTGTCCACCGGGGAGGCGCGCGGTGCTCGCGGTGCGCGGTCCCAACTTTCCCGCAAGGGAATGGTGCCGCGCGTTCCCAGCAACGTACCCCAGGGGGCCGCGCCGCGCAAGCAAGCAAGCAAGCAAGAAGTAGCACCCAAATCTGGGATTTTCGCCCGAGTCGTGTTTCGCTGTTTCGCTGCAAACTCGAGCCGGCGAGGAGACTCGAACCCCGGGCCGGCGGAGGAGGCGGCTGTTTTTCGGCGGCAGCCTCCTCCGCCCGGCCTGCCCCAGGGCGTGCATGTGCGGGGCGGGGCGGGGCGGGGCGGGGCGGGGTGGGGCGGGGCTCGCTGCATATTGATGCCGCCAATCGGATTTGAATATTTCACCGCGTCGCGGGGAAGGCAGTGGAAGGTAGGGCGGGCCTAGGGCTGTGCGGTTAACCGGTTAACCGTTATTGCATTCGGTTATTTCATTAACCGGCCGGTTAAGTTAATGCCTTTTCCGGTATAGGTTAACCGAATAACCGACAAATACGGTTAACCGGCCTTCGGTTAACCGGTTTTAACGTCGTGCTTAGTTGCATAATTGTTTCGGGAGGACCCCTATATACTTAATTTAGTGGAGTTTTCATTGGTAAGAAACCGGTATATAATCCAAAGGTAATTGTTTTTCTAAATTGCTCCGATTACTTTATCGTGTTACACACCGATTCGTTTTGTTATTTAACCTTTTTAAAAACTAACCGGTTTTTGAGAAATTGCAATAACCGGTTATTGTGAGTTCCTTTAAAAACCGGTTAATTTTGACAAACCGGTTAACCTGGAAAGAATCCGGTTATTTCAGTAACCGGTTATTCGGTTAGAATTCCAATAACCGCACAGCCCTAGCCGGGCCTGGCCGTCTGGGCGGCGCGGTCACGACGACGCTCCAAATTTGTGGCGACGCGCTGCCAGGCTGCGCCCCTGGGGGGCAACACGTCACGGGAAGGGGGAAGGGGGAGGCATTGCCGATCGGCCCCTAGGATCGGCCGCCGCCCATCGGACACGTAACCGGATTCCGGTTTTGCTTTTCGTTAATCCCCCAATTACCCGAGCGAGGCGGCGAGGCGAGGCGGTGCGGTGTGCGCGGTGCCGCGAGGCAGGCCGAGGCAGGCCAGCCCTGTCCGCCCGTTCGCTGCGGAGCGCCAAGCAGCGGCCGGAGACGCGAGAAAGTTTTGCCGGCGTGGCGGCACTCGGTAGAGCTACTCGGTGGAGGTACTCGGCGGAGGTGCGCCCGACTGGCACTCCAAAGGAATAATGAGACTCTGTAATGACTCGCTAGCCCCCTGGCCCTGGCCTCGCTCGGCGCGCTTGGCGGCGGCGCGGCCAAAGTTTGGCGGTAAATGAATTCCCATCATTACATGTTGTTGAGCCTGGCAGCCTGGCGCGGCGTGCCTGCCGGGCCGAAGCGCCACCGCCAAGCCACCGCCACCTTGGCACTGCCTTGGCACTGCCGCGGAAAATGAAGCCAGGCCACGCCCTGGTGCCGCCACGGCCGCCACTCTCGCCGACGACGCGCTTTGGCCGCCGTTTGGCTGCCGAACCTGGTGACCCACATGCGGAGCGTGGAGCTGGCTCATTCACGCTTCGTCCTCGGCGCGCCGCTTACCCGACCATGATGGCGAGGCAGAGCGTGACGGGCACGGTGACGGTCTGCGGGTCGTAAGTGTCCCCGCTCTCGGACGAGCTGTTGGTCTCGTCGTCGGCCTCCTCGCCGTCGTCCACCTCGTCCTCTTCCTCCTCGGCCTCCTCGTCGGACACGGTCGTGCCCTCCTCCTCTTCTTCCCCCTCCTCCTCATCGTCGTCCTCGTCCTCCACGTCGCTGTCGGCGCTGCTGCCGCTCTCTTCCTCCTCCTCGAGGTCCTCGTCGTGGTGCCGTCGCCGAGGTCGTCTCCCCTGCCGCCGCGCCGCGCCTCGCAGGCCGCCATCGTCCAAGTGCCGGCCCCGCCGCGTGGGCTGGAAGCCCATCTCGAGGTCCGTGTCCTGCAAGAGGCAGTGTGTTAGCTGCATCATGCCTTCCAGCCCTTCCAGCTGCCGCGTGTTACTGCCTTACCTCGTTCAGCTCCACCGACCGGCCGCGCGGGCCGCGCCGTCCGGCGCCCCAGCCGCCGTTGAGGTCCGCGACGGGCGTCCTGCCGCGCGGGTAAGCCGCGCCGCCCTGTGGACGCAAGACTCAGTTTGAGCACGGCGATGGCGGCGTGGCGGCCAAGCGAAAGAAGAATCATATTATTTCCGCACCGCGTCGCTGCTGCCTACATTACGCAGCGCCGCCAAACTTTAAGTTACACGAAACGCACAGCCCCGCGGTTTTGATTTCTCAAGTCAACTTTGGAGGAAAAATTCCCGCGGTGGTGCGGCGCTGCTCGGCACCGCCACGTCGGGAGGAATCGCAATGAGAGTCCTGCCGAGACGGGCCGGTTCGTCGACGGCCGCAGATGTCGCGCGTGGCCGGGTGGCCGGGTGGCCGGGTGGCCTCACCTGCCTGCCGAAGGCCGACCTGCTCCTGCTGCGGCTCCGCGGCGACGACTCCCAGTCGTCCTCCACGCCGAGCTCGTCCCTGCCGTAGTCCACGCCCACCTTGCGCGAGCGCGACGACCTCGGCGTCGACCCCCAGCACCGCTCGTCCTCGTCCTCGAGGTGACGGGCGGGGCGGCCCCTGGGGGCGCGCTGACGGGGGCTCGGCGGCCCCGAGGGGTAGCCGTCATGGCTGGCGTGCCTGGCGTGGACCCCCGAAAGACTGCGGCGCGCGGCGAACTGCGCGGCAGGGTGGGCGCCGGGGGTCCACGAGTGGTTGTCACCGAAGTCGGCAGCGACCGGCGGTAACGATTTTACGCTGTAAACATGCACTGGTTCAAATTTAACACATGCGCTTTTTAAAAGAAGGATCTTTACCATTGTCAAGACGTTACCTGGAGTGCCTGGACACGGACATGTTGCCGTGCTGCATGGCGCGTGCCAGGCGTCTGCGCCGCGCCCCGGGGCAGCCCTTGCACAGCCACAACTTGGCGTAGGTCCACTTGAAGGACTTGGCGAGGATGTCCCCGATGTTGGACAGGTACAGCAGGAACAGGGGCATGCCGATGATGGCGTACACGACGGTGGTAATCTTGCCCCACTCGGACCGCGGCGTCACGTTGCCGTAACCTGAACAGCGAGACGAGGGTGAGCGCCGGAAGAGGAAGACAGCTTCGGCTGAGCTCGAACCCGAAGAGGAACAAAAAGCAACAAGAAGCAGAAAATAAAAGTTTGAAGAAAATGCGTCACGATGGACTGCAGCGAACACAGCTAGTTATGGAGCACCGGCGTCGCGAAGTAGGTCAAAATGTCGACAAATCGATGGAATTAAATCCCCCGCTTTGTTTCTATTTCTACAATTTTTTGCCTCATCTCACTTGCTGGAGCGTTCATGGCCGCGCTTTTGGCTTGCTCTGCTCCGTGCGAGCGGGGGGAGGGGGGAGACGGCGTGGTAAGGCGAAAAGAGGGCACACCTATGGCAGCCATACACTGTCTGCTTTTGTTCGGGAACCAAAAAGCTTTAACGAGCTTTGCGGCCGGGCCATTATACAAAATAATTGGCAATGCAGTGGAATCGTCGTTCTTCATGAGGGGTGGGGGAGCGCCGCCCGTGTGTCTGTGAGAGGTGTGCCTCCAGGACCCGCAGGACCCCTCATCGCGCGCCGCGGGAAAGAGAAAGGGGGGGGAGTGGTGGAATCTGGAGGGGAGACGGCCCCACAATAAACGAGGTGCCGTCTTAAAAACGTAAAAGTAGGAATCGCGCTGAATCAGAGCGAAATGATATCGAGGCACGAGAAATGAAGCGACTAAGTGGTCCTCGCCGGAAACTCTGGGGCCGAACCCGTCTCCGCCCCGCCCCGCCTCGTCTGTCAAAAAGTATGAAAGTCGCCGCGGTCCGAAGCCAGGCTGAAGCCAGGCTGAAGCCAGTCGGCCCAACTTGTTTGAAGCGAGGACGGGTTCGACTAGCAGTGCAGACGCGTGCTTTGTGGTGCTTTGTCGCCACGGCCTCGGCGGCCTCGACGCGGCGGTACAGCGGAAAATGGTTGATCGCCGAAGCCCCTCGGCGCCCCATCGGCGTGTGGCGTTTCATTGTGACGCGCGACGTGAGGCGAACCTTCCACCCTCGGCCAGGCAGGGCCGTAGGCCGCTCCCACGCCTCGGCAGCTGCTCGGTGGCCCCGCGGCCCCGCGCATCCAAACCGGGGCTCAAAATGAAATTACATCTTGACCTTGCTTTCGCCTTTCGCCGTTCCCCTTCCGCCGCGACCCGCTTCCCATTTCCCACCCCACCTTTCCGAAGCGGAAGTATTGTTTATTTTTATTATTCCGCCTTCCCATTTTTTTGTCCTCGCCGAGGCCGTGGTGGCGGTGGTGCGGTTTTCGGGATACAATTTCAGTCACCTCTTCATGAACCGCGCGGTCGCCTTGCAGCGCAGCGCGATGCAAAAAAATAAATTAAAATGAAAAGTGTGACGCAAGCTTTGTCAAAATCAGCGAGAGGGGGCGGGGGTCGCAGCAGTGCCGCGGCGCCTAGGCCGACAGAGGCAGCGGGCGGAAAGACTCGAGCCTCCTCTGTTGACGGAAAACATTCGGCCGAGGAGGAGTCAGCACGGCGAGCACAGCGATCCTGTCGTCATGAATATTTCACTGTCATCGCGAGCGTCGCGCGCGTCGAGCGTCGCGGAGGCGTCGCGGAAGTCGCTGCGTCAAGTGGTCGTCGCTCTGTCTCTCTCGCACCTGCACTGGGCGCATGTGTGCGAGGGAGACAGAGCGACGAGAAAGAGACGCAGCAGGACCTCTCAGGGGGGCACAAATCGAAGCCCCAAGGTGGGGGCACACCAATCGAAGCGCCTTGATAGGGGAAGACAACTCGAAGCCCTCTGGCAGGGGCCTCAAATCGAAGCCCCAAGGTAAGGGGCCACGAATCTTAGCCCCCTGAAAAGGGGGCTCGAAAGGGGTGCGAGAGGGACGGAGCGGCGCGAGGGCACTGCCAGGGCACTGCCAGGGCACTGCCAGGGCACTGCCAGGGCACTGCTCGCGCTGCAGACAGCAGCAGCCGGCGTGGGATTGATTGGTGTCGACAATGCAAGGCAGGGCGTGGGGCTGGCGCGGCCTCGCTGTCGGGGCGGGGCGGGGCGGGGCGGGGCGGGGCGGGCTGGCCCGAGTGATGCGAAGGTATCAGCCGACATTGTCTGGCTTGGTGCTTCCCCGCCCCGCCCCGCCGAGATGAAACAAAGCAGGTCGAGCCGTATTACTCAGGCGGCGATTGGTCGAGCCATTGGGCGTGCCTCGGTGTGCCCGCCTGGCAGCCCTTCAGGCAGTCGCCGCGCTCTCCGCACCGCCCCGCACTCAGTGCGTCCGTCCGGCCGGTAACGAGTGCGCCGAGCAGCACAAGCAGGCCATAAGCACCGGCAATTTCGCTTCGGTCGCGATCCGGCGAAACGAAAACGGATCCCCTGCTTCGGCCGCTTGGCGTGCCATTTGCCGCGACCGAATTATGTCTGGAATGGAAGTCCCATTCCGGGGATTGACGCGGAGACGCTGGGGCGGGGCGGGGCGCGGTGCTTCCGTCATTTCCCCCTGGCCATTCCCGCGCGACTCGGCGGCCTGCCTGCACTCTGCGCGCCGAGGATTTAAAAACAAAAAGGGCAACCCTTCCTGCCTGGGCGAGTCCTGGCCGCGCCTTCACGGCCGGCCGCCTCCACGCCCTGCCCGCCCTGCCCGCTGCCCTGGCTCACTGCCGGTGCTTCGCTGCTGCAGCGCTGCCTCCGCTCGCCACGCCGCGGCCCAAATAATTCATTTCTGGACGAAAATCCGTCGCCATTTTCCTCATTTTTCTCGGGGACGCGTGCGCGTGGCACCGTGGTGGCACCGTGGTGGCACGCCGCGCACACCGCCAAATGTACTCCTGCAGTGCTGTGCCCAAAGCCCAACGTATTAATAATGTGGCTCCGGGCCAGCCCCGCCGGCCCCGACGGTCCCGACGGCCCCGACGGCCCTGCCAGCCGTGGCCCCTGGTCTGGTCTCCGAGGCTAACTTGAAGGAGACACCTTCCTTGCAATAAGTCACCCCTGCCGCGCCATCAGTCGAGGCGGCCCCTTTACATAGTGGGGGAATCGCGCGCTCGCACGCGGGTTCAAATCCAGCTTCACTGTATTTTTTTTTCAGTGTGTTGTTGGCGGCCTTGGCAGCGAAGGCGTGGGGGCAGACCACTGCTCATCCCCGCCGCGCGGGCTGGCACAGCGACGTCAGTATCAGTTATCGCCCCTCCGACGCGGCCCGGGAATCACTTGGAGCGCTGCGGCCGCTGCAGCATTGCAGTGCACTGCGACGACGGGGACGTCCCGCAGCGAGGGCCGACTGGGCCGCCGCGACGCACTCCACCGCGCGGCGGGGACTCCAGTGAGCGAGACACCGTGAGGGAGGCGGCTTTGAACCGCCGTCGTGTCGCTACCGGGACGACGTCCCAGCCCGTGCCCCAGCCCTCACTATTTATTGAACAGATCAGAATTAGACTGGCTCGTCGAAACGGGATCTGGAAAGCCACGGTTGTCTCTGTTTGGAACGCGGAGGGTGGGGGCGCGGCAAGAAGCCCCCTCGACTCCGACGACGGCCGGCCCCGCCAGCGCCGCCAGCGCCAAGGTACGGCCTCGCTTAGGGCCGCGAAGGTGCTCCGCGATTTGCAGGTATGATTAATGCCATAAAGAAGCTATTAAGCCGTCCCCCCGGTCGGAGGCGGGGGCGGGGAGGGGAGCGGGTGCGCGGCGGCGCCGGAGCGGGCAGCCTGGCGCCAGGGGGCGGGAGCGAGGACGGCGAGGACGCGCAGGAATGTGGCTCGACTGCAACTAATTTGGAAACCGAAAAGCAGAACCCGATGCCGAACGCGGCCAGGATGGCGGCCGTGATGGCGGTGCGCAGGATGGCGGGCAGGAAGGCTGCGGCGGCGGTCGGCCGGGTACGACTCCCCTCTTTAGGTGTGTGCAGGTGCGCCATGTTTTATGCATGCCTCGCTGCGTGGCTGCGCCGCGAGTCCCTCAGCCACATCCTGGTACTTCCGCCACCACCGGGTGTGCCTCCCTCCGTCAGTCATCCCAAACATACAGACAGTCTCACGACCGCCGTTACAGCTTTCACGAATAATGTTGGATTCTGGGAGAGTTGTTTGTCGTTTTAGCAGTGGTGTAAAGGGCAACCCGTGCTCTGGCAGGCGCCTACTGGGGCATCCGGGCCTGCCTTGGGCGTGCCCGGCCCGGATACCCCTTGTACCGCCCTTGGAATCGGTCGACGAAGACGACGTGGGCAAAATTGTTTGTCTCGACTCATGTATCTTCTGTGACGTGGTCGCCTGGGTGTGAAGGACAGGGCGCGCTCGTGTGTGTGTGCGTGGGTGCGTGCGTGGGTGTGCGTGTGTGTGCGTGCGAGTGAGCTGGTGGTGAAAGGGGCTGAGCTGACAGAGGCTCGGCGGGAGCAGCCGAGTGAAATATGGATCTTATGACCGATTACCCACGTTTGGCCGACAGCACTGAATCCGGGCGCCGGGCCGGCCGGGCGGAGCCGGCTGAGACGCGGGCATGCGAGTGTTTTGTCTTTCAACACTACATATTGCTCTAAGCAGCCCGCACTCTCGGCGAACACAACACGCGAGCGACGCAAGCCCTTACCGATGGTCGTGATGACGGTGAGGGAGTAGAGGAAGGCGCCGGAGAAGGACCAGTTGTCCGTAGACTTGCCGCTGTCCGAACCCGCCCCCTTCATGGTGCGGACAAAGTCTTTCTGATATTCCTCGATCAGCTTGTTGGCCTGCAACACACTCTCATTAGCCTCGGCCTGTGCATGGCCCTGCATCGGCCTGCTGGCCGCGCCGGGCCGCACCCACCTCCTTGATCCAGACGTCCTCCTCCAGCGGGATGATGAAGCAGCACGTGACGTTCCAGAGGCGGTCGGCGGTCGCGTTGCGCAGCCGGTCGGCGTCCTCCGTCTTCTTGGTCACGCTCTTGGGGTTCTTGCCCTCGATGTGCTGGAAGAGCAGGGCGCCCACGATGGTGTAGCCGACGACCAGCCCGATGATGCCCACGTTGCTGAACATGAAGGCCACGAAGTGGCGCAGCGAGTCCTTGATCTTCTCGCCGAGCGGCTTGTGGCGACGCGACGACCGCTTCCGCTCCATGGCGCCGGAGCGGCCGGAGCGGCCAGAGCCTGCAGAGCCCGGGGCGGGCCTCCTTCATGCCTGCCTCGGCCACCTGCGGCATGCGGCCGCCAGACCGCGCGCCTGGCCGCCGAGGCCTCGGCCGCCTTGGCCGCCTTGGCCCGGGCCGCTGCGGGTAAGCGATGGCCTCGTTGTTGGCCACCACGACGTCATACATCGCGCGGACAGCGCAGCCAGTGCCGCGGACAGCCTCGGCCCATCACATCACGGCCTCGGCCACCTCGAGGGCGCGCCGGCCTGCCGCCTGTCGGCCTCGGTCAGTGGAATCGGATTGGACTGGGTCGCATCTGCAAGCAGAAAAAGTTGGCATCAGGCATCGAATGAGGGGCAGGTGCGGGTGACGTCGGCCCGGAAACCCGGAAACGGAGACCGGAAGGAAGCAAACACGCGGCGATGGTCACGGAGGAGAATAAAAATGTCTAAGAAGGGACAGAGACTAAGGGCGCGAAGGGCGAGAAGGGCGGGGGAACCCTCCAGCGGGCACCAGGCCCTTTCCCACCAAGAAGGGCTCGGTGGGGTTGCGGCGTTGTGAACGCAGCTGCTTCTGCTCTGCGGTTTCAGCACAAAATAGTTGAGTCGGGCCGTGGGCTGGCAGTGGGTTGCTGGGACGCCAAGACGAACCCGGACTGCGGTCGGGAGGGACGGATAGCCTTGCCGAGCCTTCGCCTTGGCGACGTCGGGACTTTAATCACTGGCGGCGTATTATCGTGCGTGCGGAATAAGAGGACGAAGCCCCGCCAAGGCCGTCCAAGGCCGTGCCCAAGGCCGTCCGTGTGTCCTTGGCGTCCCCCAGACGTCGGCCACCTCGTCGCGAGGCCGCGACCGCGGGCCAACAAATGGTGGCCGCTGTACACCACGGCGACCACATGTGTGGTGAGGCTGGCGGCCTCCACGAGCGCACCGAGATCTCACGCTTGCGTGCGCGGAGGGGGAGGGGGAGGGGAGACCCCGGCGGGGGGCACGGCACGGGGTCCTGGAGTCAGGCAGGCTGGAGCGGAGCCCCGCTTGAGCGATGTCCCACATCTGCCGGCGACACATGAGCAGTGGCGGCGGCTTCGTGGCCCAGGCCAGCCCGCAGCCTCGCCCCGCCACGCCCCGCCACGCCCCGCCACGCCGCGCCCCTCGTGGGGCCTGCTGCCCCTCGGCCTGCTTCCTTCTGATGTCAGTGGGAATGGTGGCGCTCAAAAACCAATCCTGCGCGCCCTCTCCAAGGCCGTCCCTCTTGCCGCTGGCAGACGAGTGAAGTGCGTGGGGTCTGGCTCTCTCTCTCTCTCTCTCTCTCTCTCTCCCTCTCTGCGCCGCCCGCCGCCTCCGTGCAGCAAGACTTCTTGCTAAAGCGCCCAGCACACGCGCACATACACTCTCCCACACACACTCACACACGCGCGCCAATATAATGCCTCTTCAAAGCGAGCGCCAGGAGTGTCGGCTAGCATTGCCAGCAGTGGCTGTCTTGATGTCTTTCTGCGAAGCGCGCCGTCAAAGCCTTCGCGGAATTACGAGTTCTGTGTCCCCTAAACGGTGGGTTGAAAAAAATAACGACTGTAAATTCCATCCCCTTAGTAAAGAAGAGCATGGTAAGGAGGCCGTTTGATTTGTTTATTCGAATGTCACCGCCTGCTGGATCGAACCCTCGCCGTTAGATATGAAACCCAAACAGCGGGAGTTAGGTCGAGTTGACGCACCCCGGACGTAAAACCCTGGCCAGCCTGGACTCGTCCGGTGAGAGGCAGTGTGGTGGTCAGGGCTTGGGGCGCTCCGCTGGCCCGGCTCGCTCGCCGGGACGAGCGGTCAGTCGAGAATTGCTCCGTGCAGTTGCCGAGGCGTGAGGACTGCTGTGATAGAACTGTCGGTTCTGTCCGCCGCCCTCGGCGAGGGCCTCCGGCGAGGGCCTCACCAAGACAGAGACGCGGCCGGGGCGAGCCAACGGGCAGGATTGTCCAAGGCGCTGCTGCGGCTCGGGGCGGGGCGGGGCGGGGCGGGGCGGGGCGTGGCGGGGCGGGGCGGGGCGGGGCGGGGCGGGGCGGGGCGGGGCGGGGCGGGGCGACCCCCAGTCCCGATGGTCCGGAAGACGACGCTCGGGACCTGAACCGCGTTATAAAGGGAGTGGCCCGGAATCTGGAGACCGCGGCAAGCGGCGCCAAGGCATCCTGGATCCGCTGGCCGGGGCGCCGCGGCAAGGCGCGTCTGCGTCAACGTCAACAGCGTCCTGGGGGCGACCGGTGGTGCCCGGTGCTGGCCGCACCGCGCCGCCTGGGTGGGTGGCTGGCTGCCTTTTGCGGCCAACTGGCGGCTGTTTTCCCGGCGCTGCCTGCCAGCTCCGCCAGCCGGGCGGCCCGCCGAGCTGGCAGCCGTCCCGAACTAACTGTGTGCGGCGTTTGGACAGCAGCGCGATTGGTGCCATCCAATCAACCGGCCGGCAGGCGGGACAGCCAGGGCGGCCAGGCAGGCACTCGGGGCATGACGCCGCCCTGGACGCCGCCCTGGACGCCGCCCTGGACGCCCCAGAGACGTCGCCACGAATTAACAACAAGCCCTGCACGGCGACGCGGCGGCGTCTCAGCCGTCCGGACGGCCGCGATGACGCGACGACGACGCCACCCAACGCCCGGCACGCCCTCCGCTTTTTCTCGTTTTTCATGTCCGCGTTTTTTTGACTTGTTTTTGTATTTGTTTGCGCAGTGGTTACGAAATGAGAACTGTCGATTCCGGGAAAGTCGTATCGGCAATAACGCAGCAAACGGAACGGCATGCATCATGTGGGGCCCATCTCTGAAAAAACCAAACCGCCCTCTGAAAAATGCCGAAAACATCAAACTCGCATTGGAAAGCCATTTTCCGGCGGACAACCGTTCACCAGCAGCAGCGGCAACACATCCGCCGAAAAACAGAACGAAAAAAAAAGGGCGCAAGAGGAGACCGGAGAGAAGGGCGATGGGCACGCAACAAATGGAGGAGGCCTGCCAGGCCACTGCCAGGCCACGGCCAGGCCTGGCGGGGACGCGACGCGCTCGCGCCGCCCGAGAGAGCGAGCGGAGCGCGGAGCGGAGTCACTGCCAGAAACAATGGATTCATATCGCCGGAATTGCCGAAATGACCGAAATGGGCGATGAATTCAAATCGAACGCGATGCGCCGCCATTTGTTCGCCGGCCCGCCTTGAGTTGTTCCGCCTTGAGCTGATCGGGTCATTGCTGCAGCCGTTGGCTGGCGATGACGTCAGGACGTCAGGCGGCTTGCCTTTCGGCTTCGGCTCGCTTTCGGCTCCAGTCTCTCGCTGATGACCTCGGCCGAGCCGGCACCAAACCCGCGTGGCCCAGGACGCAAAATTGGCTCAAATCACTCACATCCCCGGACCGTTTCCTCTTTGACTACGTTTTTATTCCACCCCTCAAAGTATTTCTCCGTCCTTTTCATTTGTCTCTTTATTTTTCTGGTTTTCATTCATTGTTGACCCGATTTTTCATGTCGTATCACAGGCGGGAGGCCCGTGCCCGGCCGTGCCCGATCCGGCCGCGACACTCGCGCACGTTCACCGCGAAATGAAATCAAACGCCCGTGTCCACTTGGGGGAGCGGGTGCGGTTCGCTGAATCCATATTTGCTGTCAGCTCAAACGCTTTTTTTGTACCTCGCACGACGTGCTCGCGACCTGGCCACTCGACGACCTCCTTTCCCAGCCCTGTTTGCCCCCATCTCGAGGCGTGCGATTCAGGAGATCGGTTCGTCGCTCTGTCCCTCTCGCACCCGTCCGGGGCCGTCCGAGCCGTCCGGGGCGCCCCATCAGTGAGACAAAGAAAGACGAAACGGCCCTTCAGAATCGCTCGGCAGAACGTACATGCCGTGCCGAGCCGAGCCGTGCCGAGCCGAGCCACGCCGAGCGCTAATATTTGCCCGGGAGGTGCGACCATCACGGCGAAACACACACGCACACCTCCTTAGAGAGGGGAGGAGGGGGAGGGGGACGGAGATCAGAAAACAAACACGAGTTTCCGAGATTTTGGCGGTCAAATCAGGGTGCGGTCCATTATTGTGAATGGCAGAAGTTGTTTAGCACGATCAGTCCCCGCGAGGAGAGAGGGAGGGGAGGGGGAAGGCCAGTCCTCTGGAGAGTATCAGGAGCGCGCCATGTTCAATATCTCAGAGCGAAAAGTTAGTCATGTATCATGTCGGAAGACTCCCGGCTGCAATCCAAACTTCTAATGGTGAGGATTCCGGGATTGGTAGGTGCTGGGGCGTGTGAGGAGGCGGGGAAGGACGGGGGGGGGGCGAGAGAGGATGAGGGACAGAGACAGACGGAGGGAAAGAATGCAATAACAAAGTATTTTCGCCGTGTGCCTCGGATGAACGAGTCGCCAACTCACGTGTCTACCGGCGCGGCCGGGACGGGGTCCGGGACGAGGCACATCTTCACCAGGCGCGGCGGCGCGGCGCGCGCCCCAAAGAGATAGCTCTGTTATTGGCTCGAGCGCCCCGGAGGAATCCTACAAGTATTTGCGCCACCGGGGAGGCAACACAGAGGGCAATAATTCTGCGCCATATCTCTCCGCCCCCGCACGGCCCGGCCGGAGTGCGTGGAGACGGACAAGTTGGGCGCACTAGAGCACATCGCATTGGCGTCGTATTGGCTCCGACTGCCTCGACTCGACCAATCAGCGATCACTTCCTGGGAGTGGCTTTGCCGCTTGCTTCGCCATGCGCTGCGCGGCGGCCCCACGCTCGTGCACTGGAAACTCGAGAAATACCGGGTACTTGTGGTGCTGGGCGTTCCCGTAGGTGAGGTATACAAGTGAGGGGTCGGTCTGGGGAGAACTCAGACGTTGAGGGGTGTTTTTGACCACCACCAGCTTGGACGCAGTGGCCGCCCAACGTCAGCAATTTTGGGTTTTACATGCTTTTTCGACATGTTGACAGGTTTGCAGGGCTGGTGCCCAAATAATTTCCAATAATCCCAATAATTCTTACTAACCACCATAATCACTTATAATCCCCAACGGCCATCCCT